AACCCAAACGGGTATATGTATGGGACCGGATCGGGTATCTTCCCAATTGTTCAAAAACTTGCACTTTATTCTTCTTTATGACCTGTCATTAGTTCCCTTTCTCTTTCTCTCAAATCTGAACTAAAAAAAGTAACAATAAAAATCCTAAGTACTTTACTTGGGTTGCCTCCCAAGAAGCGCGTTATTTAACGTCGTGGCACGACATTATTTTATTTTATTATCAGTTTATGTGGGATCGTGAACATCCCCTTTTTCTTTCTTCAAGGCACTGTTTGGCCATGTTTCAATTTTATTTTTTGGCCTTTTACAGTAAGGTCGAGCTTTGTTTCTTGCTACCACCTCAATAGTTGGTGGATTTAGTTCACAATTCAACAATTCCCTTCCAACCAAGGGTGATTCCCTATGCTCAATTTTCTCCTTTCCTTGAAAAATTGGGATTTTATCAAATTCCTTCAAAAAATTTGGTTTTTGTGGTTCAAAAACATTTAAAGAACAAAGAGTTTGGTCTTTAATTTGATTTTTCGTAAGGTCAAAGATATTGAATTCTACTTTTTAGTTATTGAACTCTAAAGTTAATGAACCACTAGACACGTCAATTTTAGTTTTTGCGGTTTTTAAGAAGGGTCTACCCAACAGGATGGGTGTTGTTTTGTCATCATCATTTCCAGAACATAGAAGTCAATGGGAAAATCATGTTTTCTACTTCTACTAGTTCTATCACACCCTTCGGGTAAGTACTAGAGCGATCTGCTAGTTAAATTACTACAACGGTTTGATGTAATGGGACAAGTTGTAGAGATTTGTACACAGAGTAAGGAATGACATTTATGGATGCCCCTAAATTCAACAAGGCCTTAGAAAATGTGGTGTTCCCTATTTTGCAAGGAATAGTGAACATGCCCGGATCGCTACATTTTTTGGGGAGTTTCTTTTCAAAAAATAGTCGAGATATGTTCACTAACCTTAACGTCTTGTTTCCCCTTCAATTTATTTTTTCTTTTTGTTTTGCATAATTCTTTAAAATTTTAGCAAAACGGGGGACAATTTTAATTAAGTTAAGGAGCAGAATGTTTACCTCGCACTTGTCGAAAGTCTCATAGATATCAGCATCTTTCTCTGGCTTCCTTGTCTCCATCAATGCCTCAGGGGACGGGGCCACTAATTCATATGATGAAAGTGGAGGGAGTTTTGCCTTTGTAATTCCCTCCTCCGAGTGAGCTTCTTCTTCTGTTTCAACCTCCTTAATCATTTGATCTTCTTTCACTAACTCTTTCAATGTCGTCCCACTTTTTAACATGATTGCATTCACATGTTGTCTCAGGTTTTGCTCCGTTTGAGATGGGAGTTTACCCGAGTCCTTTTCTTCAAGTCGGCTCACGGCATTTGAAATTTGGCTAACTTGAGTTTCCAAATTTTTTATGCTTGACTTTGTCTCATGTTGGAATTGTATCATGTTTTGTTAAAATTGTCCCATATTTTGTTGCATGGTAACCATGTTTGAAGTCGAAGTTCGGATCATGTCATCAGTTGACATATTTGATTGAGAATTTGAGCTTTGGTTGTTGAAAGCTGGTTGAGAAGATGGGTTGGATGGTTGGGGGGTTTCCATACCTCAAGTTTGGATGATCCCTCAATCCAGGGTTGTAAGAATTTGAAAATGGATTGTACCTCCTTTGTTTATGTCCTTGGAAACCCAAGGCGTTGAATTGCTCTTCTTGGAGTGATGGACACGAATCAGTGGGGTGTCCGGTTGATGTGCAAACTCCCCAAGCTTTGACCTCCTGAGTTTTTAGCTTTAGAAGGAGCTCTTTTACCAAAGAAGTTAAACCGGCAACTTGACTTTCTAGAGCGGTTGTGCTTGTTTCTGCAGCAAGAACTCTTCGAGTTGAGAATTTGCGGCTGAATTATTGTGAGTTCTCGGCCAACTCCAAGATCAAGCTTGTTGCTTGTGAGGAAGTTTTGTTAACAATGCCTCATCCACAAGCGGCATTCACCATTCTTCTATCATCATCAACAAGACCATCATAAAAGTATAAGATGAGGTCTTGTTCTGTGTATCCATGATAGGAGCTAGCACATAGCTTCTTAAATCTTTCCCAAAATTCAGATAAGGACTCATCATCCGTTTGTTCAATGTTGCTTATTTGCTTCTTGCGAGATGATGAGATGGATGCGGGATAATACCTCTCAAGAAAGCATTATTTCATAGCCGCCCATGTGTTGATACTTTCTGAAGGAAGATAGAAAAGCCAATCTTTTGCGATGTCCTTCAAAGAGAATGGAAAAGCCCTTAGTTTGATTTTTTTCCTCCGTGACACCGTTTGGACACATGCTTGTGAAAACGATGTGGAACTCCGAAAGGTGTTTATTCGGGTCTTCTCCTTTTAGGCCATGGAAGGATGGCAGTAGATGTATGAGCCCAGATTTTAGCTCAAATGTAACACCTTCATTGAGAGTAGGGAATGTAATACAAAGAGGTTCGTTGTTGGTAATTTAGGTTTGAAGCTGTGAGCTCCTCCAAAGTTCTTGTCTCAAGATCCATGTGGAATGACTCTTCGGATTCGCTAGAACTAGCGTTTGAGGATTCCTCCAAGGGTGTGTGCGGAAATAAATTTCTCGACCTCTTGAAGGCTTAGCTTGTTCTATTTCGGGGTTTGTTTGGTATGTGAGTAGGTTAACAGAGCGGGTTTTTACCATATACTCAACGAAGCTCAGAAATAGAAAAAGTAAGGACTCTTTATATTTTGTTTATTTTTTTTATTTTTCTTGAATTAAAATAAAAAGAAAAATTATTGCTTGTACCCGGAAACGTCGCCAAATTTGACGAGCACTTTTTCGTGATGTGCGTCAAAATAATAAATACAATACAACACTTATACTTAGTATAGCGTAGTAAGGTTCGTACCCAAGAGGAAATTAAAGGAATACTTCTCTTTTTAATTAAATAGTAACAAAGGGGGTTTTAGGTTGGTTGAAGGACTTAAGAGTATTTAATCACCAAGTTGAACGACTTATGTGGTTTACTTAATAGAGATGAAGACCTGGTTTTGTTTTTATCCACTTAATGAAATGTTCGTCAATCTTGGTTATATCTTTAACTATCTTCCTCTCGAATACTCAATCGAGGAGTATATCCAGTTCATCGAGGATAGTAATTAATAATGAGGCGTGTTCATTAATAAAACTTACTACCGAGTCAATATAGAACACGCAATATATTGACCCGATAGTAGCAATGAACTTAAGATGAAAACGATTGAGATTGATAACCTCAACACAAGCGATTTATTAGTTTAATCAATATAATTAAATCTCCTTAGATTATTAGCCATGAGACGTTTTCCCAAAAAAATCATGAGACGCATGCATTAATAATTCAAGTTTACTACCGTGAAAAGACCGAACGATTAACAAGCGTATTCGTCTATCGATTCTAGTAATCATTAATACTTATGAAACAAAACTAGTTGATCCTTTAAGTCATGTTCAAAATATTAATATGAAATATGAATAGGAATTAATTAATATTTAAGGAAGAAGATTAAAGAAAATAAATGCTACCATAATGTATGTCGAGATGTTAACTAATTTTCATCTTAGCAACACTCCTTAACATTAATATAGAGATAAATTAATGGAAGAATTAATATTCAAGGAATATGATTAAAGAAAATAACTCAAAACTTACAATTCATTAAGCTTCAAAGTAGCAAAACCAAGATGAAAGAGTTTCGCTCCTCATTTGTAGACTAAATGTGATGAAAATATAAAGGAAATATTTGTCCAAACTGAGCTTAGAGGTATATGTGAATTGGTGATTTTATTGTGAAGGAAAGGGATCTATTTATAGGAAGGATGGGGCAGCAGGGTCGTGTACCTGATCGGGTCCATATAGGGTACCCGACCAGGTACCTTCAGAAAACGTTTTTAGAACATAGATTCAAGGCATAGCCGATCGGATGTGTCGGTGTACCCAATCAGGTATGACAATAGATCATGGCCAAATCTTTCCATGCACGTCCATTTGTTTCCTGGACTGATCTGATTGAAAATCAAGTTGGTACCCGATCCGGAAAGGGTATACCCGACCGGGTACAAGCCAAAATCAGGATCTTTTCTTTTTTTGTCTTGTATTCTTGCACCTTCCTTCCTCTTTTGTGTTCCAATGATCATTTGATTGATCCTAGACCTGACTTAGCTCATAATTGACCTAATCTAAACAAGTTACAAATAATTCACAAACATAACTATTACATCAAAAGTGTGTAATTTCCAAAGTATCAAACAACAAAACTAAGTATGTTAAAATTCACAAACATAAACTGACCCTTATCTCCCCTAAGTAAAAATACATACGGAAATTACATGGGTATTATCAACGACGTTTGGGAGACAACTGAATAGGCCACAGTGGTTAGGCGCGTCAAAGGCTTAAGAATGTGATGTCAACCGCAAGTAAAATTTCATTCCATTGTATAAACTTCTCACTCTGTTTCAATATTATCTTTTGATTTGACTTAAAATGTATGTTAAAATTAAAAAGTTGAAACTATATTAGTGGGAGTTGGGCAGAGGAGGGAGGAGGAATGATATGAATTCTACAAATTGAAATTTAATTTGATAGTAAAGTAATGAAAAAGAAAATAATGAAACGAACTAAATTTGAGTAGAATAGAATATACTCGGTGTTAATGCTCAGCGAATGACAAGATTTAGAAGTTCTAGAAGATAAAAAGTTCACTATTTATTTGATACCATTAATATAGGGTAGAATAGAATTAATAATATAGAGGCCCATAAATATACACCACGTACGGTATAATAATATCATTATACTACGTAGTTCCCAATTCCCTATTCCTTTCAGGAGTTAACAAACGTATATCCTAGATCATCATAATTCGCAGTTCCCTAATCCTTTCAGGAGTTAACACTTAACAGACCTATATATATCCCAGAGTACCTAATCCTGCAATCTCCTACATATAATTCTCCTACATCAAACAACGTAGTATATTGGTGTGACAAAAAAATATGGTTCCTGATGCCCTAATCCTGGCGGGTTACGTGCTTATTATGATTATGTGGGCAGCAGCCGTCTTCGCTACAATTGTGACCATAGATGCCTGTCTTCGGCGCAGTACATCCTCACCTCCGCCTATTCCCAACACCAACGTCTTCGTTAGCGTAGGAGAACGACTACCCCGCCGCCCGCCGCCGGAGGTTCGGCTGAATGTAAGAACCTTGGAGGAAAGCATAGGAGAACGACTACCCCGCCGCCCACCGCCGGAGGTTCGGCTGAATATAAGAACCTTCGAGGAAGGGAGCTTAAGGGCGGGAGTGGAGGACGGGTGTGCAATTTGCATCACAGGGTTCGAGAAGGGCGCGCTGTCCACCGTTCTTCAAGCCTGCGATCATAAGTTTCATTCCGACTGCGTCTCCGTTTGGTTGGCCATTAACAAATCTTGCCCTCTCTGCAGAGCTCCGGCCGCTCAAGTTCCTTCCCAACCATAAACGGAGTAGCTTATCCAATCTTTAGTGTAGTTGTTCGAATATTAATTACAAATTTAACATTTAACCGCACACATGAATACATGATCATCTATATGTATAATGTGCATGGAATGCTTGAATTGATGTTTTTTGTTCAAACAATTATTCCTCTTGTATATAAAGGTTTAATAAAGGTATATATTAGGGTTCTTATTCATTATTATTGTGTTAATTCACTTCGGTAAATTATACCGTACACCCGGTTGTACGGTGCTCACCGTACAACCAGGTATTTTTGCAATTAATTAAAATTCCAGTGGTAATGGTTAGGCAATCTGTTCTTCCATCTCGTGCTGCCGCTGAGATCCTAGGAGTTGGGAGTAGGCGCCGATCGATTTCTGTTCATCGCTGGCTGAAGTCAAATTGTGAAGGAGGTGACGCTGCTCGCTCCCTGGACGCTGAAGTCGCTTGCTGACTAATTCCAGGATCTCACGGCCTTTGTTCTCACATCGCAGGGAGTAAGGCGCCTTTTGATCTAGAGAATCGTAGAATCGTGCATGACCTTTGTTCTCAAATAGCAGGAGGACTAATTCCAATTTTAAGATGATATTTAATACGAAGTATTATATTTCAATATTATATTTGAATATTGTGTGTTAAAAGTTTCAGCTTGTTAATCAACATAAATTTTATGTTATATTGAAAATGAGTATAGTGTTAATAATAAATGTGCATTCCGATTAAAAGAATTGAACATACATAAATGAATAGTGTTAATGAATATTTGAGCGCATCAGAGATTTTAATGAGCTTTTGAATTTTTCAATGCTCATTTTATAATATATGTATACTCATTCGGGACTGCTGGTATGCTCATTTTAAAATGTCATATCAATGCTTATGAAACTAACTAACGCTCAACAGAATAAGTATCATGTTCATTAAAAGTGTATTAATGTTCATTTAACTGAAACCATTATTCATATCTCAATAGAGGAGGTTGATGCTCAATGAAAATATCGTGATTTTCAACTAACAAACCGACTAACAAATTCATTAGTGCTCATTTTATTAGTTACGAATGTTCATCTGATACCGATCTTATGCTCATATATTAGACTCCTAATGCTCAACGTAATAGATCGGATGCTCCTTAAAAGTTCATTAATGCTCATTCACAAGAAACTGTGGTTTTCATCTCAATAGCTGATGTTTGATGCTCAATTAAAATGGTGTGATCTTCAACTAACAAAACCTTACGATTTTCATATCAATGTACACTTTGTAGCTATATATGCTCATTTGGTAATGATGTAAAGCTCATTTTTACAATGTCTTATCAATGCATATTTCAAAAGTATCATATTATATTAGACTCGCATATTGAAATTAATAAGAGTGGATTATAGATATAATTTAATAAGTTTTTATAAAAGAAAAAATAAGAAAAAGAAAGAGAATTAGAATATATGAAGCAAATATCGTGAAACTCATTGTTAGTCTCCTAATACTCAATAAAATAGTTCAGATGCTCACTAAAATTACACTATTGCTCATTTAGCGGAAGCCGTGATTTTTCTCTTAAATTAGAAAATTGCCACCAAAATAAAACTGGCCTGTATTGGTTGTTGGACTGTCTTCCTTAGTTGGGCCGGGTGTACATACATCCCGTTGTATAATATAGGCTCTCATTCACTTCTTGATCATCTGTGTATCTAGTATTTTGCGCTTGCAATCTATCCGTTCTTCCTCCTATTTTTTAACGTTCTTATCGATCTACTATGTATTATTCTTGACTCAACTCTATTATGTTTAATTTTGCACGTACTAATAAATTTAATTACGGAGTAATTTTTTTATTATTATAGTTTCAGCAATATAACTTTTAGTAGTAACCACATACTAACAAGGTATATTTGCTTATTTAATCTGACTTGAACATATGTCTAGTATTGTTTAAATTAGTAACGTTATTTATCTGGGGATCACATCCTCTAGTTTATGAGTTTCTCTGGACTTTTTGATCAATACGTATAATCTTAACAACTCATGAAAGAGTGACGCCGAGATGAGATTATTTCTGCTAAAAATCATACCACGTATATTAGTAGTATGTATTTTGGTACAAAAGTTCATAAGATGTATAATTAATAATGAACAATCATGAACACCACCACCGTCCACCAATGACATTTTTTAGGAAGTTCAATAGGTTATCCACCACAGGGGCATTTGATTTATAGGGCCCTAATTTTTCAAAAAATTATTAGTATTATATTGTAATACTAGTATTATATACTAGATAGGCATTATTACTAACCAGTAAAATACAGTTAGTACGGAAGAAAAATATAGATCCGTCATTTTTCGTTGTTCCTTAGCTTTTAGTTCTCCTTTACTCAAACTGCTTGACTAATGAGTTGTGTTACTTTAAATCAAGTCTTAAGTATGTTTTATAAGTTTTTAATTATATTATTTAATTGATTTGAGTATAAGAATTTATGTTGAGATTTCTTTTTAATTCTCTATATAAATGTGGTGCTTCAATTTTATATTTAGAATCGGGGTCTACAAATTTATTGGACGGCCGTGGAGCAAATTGTGAAACTAAATACTCCCTCCGTGTCAAATTAATTGACTCGTATGCTTTTTCACGTAGTTTAAGGCAAATATATGTAAAGTATGCGGTTTTTGGTACTGTAGCGGTCATGGGCGGAGCCAGGACACTGGGCTGGACTGGGCCGGTACAAAGAATATTTTTAGGAAAAAATTTAAACGGAATTTGTTACACTAAAAATATAGAGATTTTTAAAATTTAGGCTGGGCCAGGGCCAGGGGTGGCCACCCCCTAGCTCCGCCCCTGGTAGCGGTACTGTAGTCGTACTGTAGCGGTACTGTAGCTGCTTTTTGGGTGGGTTATTTCCAAAAAGGAAAATGAGACATTTATTTTGATACGTCCCAAAAGGGAAAGTGGGTCAATTAATTTGATACGGAGGGAGTATGTGAAATTTTCTCTCTCTAGATGGTAAATATATATTGTATTTGTCCACTAATGACTGATTTGTCCTCCTATAGTCTTGCTGACGAACCTCATGAAGCGCACCACTTCTAATGCCTATCAAATTTGTCCTCATTCCTAAATTGAATCCTAAGGATTTACATACTCCGTATTAATTAAGGTAGATTCTATGGTACCTCAAATGTACCATACCTTTGTCCACATGGACCAATAAGAATAATGCAGTTGAATTATTTAAATGTAAATTAAAAAGCATATAATGATTTGGACTAATCAAATTTATGATAGGTACAGTATCACATTTTTTAAATGGGTAGCGGAGTTGTCACCGTTAATTAAAAAAGCATAATGCACACATATGCCTTTCGTTTGGCTTCTGCTGAATATAAGAACCTTTGAGGAAGGGAGCTAAGGGCGGGAGTGGAGGACGGGTGTGCAATTTGCATCACAGGGTTCGAGAAGGGCGCGCTGTCCACCGTTCTTCAAGCCTGCAATCATATGTGAAATTTTCTCTCTCTAGATGGTAAATATACTTGTATATTGTATTTGTCCACTGATGGACTGATTTGTCCTCCTATAGTCTTGCTCACGAACCTGATGAAGCGCACCGTACCACTTCTAATGCCTATCATATTTGTCCTCTTTCCTAAATTGAATCCTAAGGATTTACATATTAATTAAAAAAGCATAATGCACTCATATGCCTTTTGTTTGACTTCTTTCCTAAAAAATAATCACGTTTAATATACTTACAATCCTAGATTTTGTAACATAGTATAATCCTCTCATACATACTCAGGTAACAAATTTCAACGTAACTATCATCATAATATTATCTTCTTATACAATGAAGGATGAATATGAATATTGTCTAGAAAAATCTTAATATTTTATTTGTCTAAAGTTTTTTCATATTAAATATAAACAAAGTGATTTTTTAATCATGTTTACATTTTGTAGTGTAATGAAGTTTTTCACTTCAACCCGTTTTGTCTCATTCCAGACTATATTATATCCTACTTAAATATTAGTAACAATGTACTAGATTAGATCAAATCAGATTAGAATTAGATGAATCTAAATGCTTAGACTTTTTAGAAAAAAAAATCTGTTCTTGAAAGTCGAGAAAGTATATTTTAGTTATTATTTTAAGAGGTTTTCCCTAAAATATTACTACAAAAAATCTATGGACAAAAATGTGATTATAAGTTACTATGTGTAAGTTTTATAAACACTATGATGTAACATTTTAATACAGTTATAGTCACTAAAATTACCATAATCACATTTTTGTCCACTACTTTCACTTTGTTTCTTACGACGCGGGGGGAGGGGGGGGGTGAGGGAAGCCTGGGGTAAACAGGGCAGAAACTCGTTCCATGGAGTTTAGACCTGAAAAAAAAAACGGGTTCAGGTTGGGCTCGGGTCGGACCTTTTAGTATTTTTTTGCCCATTCTGTGTGGGCCGGCCCAGCCTGGCCCGACTCGCAAAAATGGGCCTAACCGGTGATTACGACATGGTCTTACCATCACAACGCTAGTGTTACTGGATGTGATATGCCACTTCTTCATCGAATTAAACAATTTAGAGAATGTTGTAACGTTATAAGAGAATCTGTTAGAATTGCATTGGATGACTGATATACCTTATATATAAAAACATAAATGTTTTGTTTTTAACTTTGCGCAATTTTATATTGCATTATATATTTGAATAAGTAACATTTTTAATTCTAGTAAAGTAATTATCCTCATTTTAAATTTGCTTGACTAATTTCAAAGGTGGACGGTCACGGATTTTAAAACTCTATCGACACCATATATGTTTATTCCACAATATAGTCATATATGTCACATGATTAAATTTAGGATTTGAATGATATTTAAGATGTTGTTAATTGAACTGATTTTGATCCAGGTAAATTCAAACAAATTAAATCAGTCGTGTAGATTTACTTAATACGATAGTAGTAAATAGTAAATAAACATTTATCGACAATTCATGAGACTTGATCATATTTTTTTAAAATGTTTACATATATAATATGGATGTAAAAAATTATTTAATTTGATATATATATATATATATATATATATATATATATATATATATATATATCATAAAAAATTATTTAATTTGATATAACTTTTATAAAAATTGGAAGCTAAGTAAAATGAAAAAGTTATGACATTTTAATAAACAAAAAAGAAGTATTTGCCACATGGCAGCACATTGGATGAAGGGTGAATCTAAAATTGATGTGTGGAGGCCGTGTGATCTAGGAAAACAACATGCGTGAGAACACCGTCAATATATTTTTTTGGTCAACACCATCAAAATTTTACTTCTTGCTACGTAGTAATTAATTTTAAAAATTTAATGATTAAAAGGTGGTCATGCTGAGGTTACGTTTAGCAAGTATGGGGTGCACAAAGCAACCCCATTTTCTTTAGTCAAGCATGAACACACTACACAAAAGTATTTCATTTGTCACGAATTTTAGCAAGAGATATCGTTCCCAACAAAATTTTCCATGATTTGTAAGGGATATTCATAAAAAATCGGGAAATTTGCAAATCCCTTCCCGTAATTTTTGCAAAATCGTAACTTTAGTCACTTGTAAATTTGGTCCTGTAGCTAATTAATATTTTCGAATTAAGAATTGTTTTCCTTGAAAAGTATACTTTCCGGTGATAGTAAACCAGAAAAGATCGATGTTGCCTGTGTCACATTTTTCTTCTAGAAACAGTGTTGATCCTATCTAAATAAACTTGGGTCTGAGTCGAGCTTTATAAAATGGTCCCTATGCATTGTGCTTCGTATTCGTTTATCATATTTGTAGATACATTAAAATCTAGTGACTAAATATCACAAAATGCAATTCTTAAATAAAAGTTTTACATTATAACAAAATGACATTGAATGTATTAAAAATTAATTGTGCACAACTCCTCGAATAGTTGTAGATGCAAAAGTACTAATACAAAGCATATAATATGATTAATTGTAAATTAAGAATTCCATAACTGCAATATTGATGAACCTAAATAAAAAACAAACAATAATCAACTAGCATTTAAAAGTTTACAAATTAACCAATTAGACATTCACGCATGAAAAATCAATTATACATGGGAAAACAATCAAATAAGCCTCCCTATTGTTCCAAAAATGTCAATTGAACCCCTCAATTAAAAGAGCACCCAATCGAACCCACAATTAAATGATTGATTGAATGCAAGGTTTAAGAAAATATTATAGAGCTAATCAATGCTAATTTAGAGTTTGATAAAATTGACTAAATTAGAACGTGTATAATATGTTCTAGATTTGAAATGGGATGTAAGATTACATTGACACTTAAAAAGTAAAAGTTTTTTTGGCTACTAGAAGTGTTGTTTAATTTTTGAAAAATTGTCAGAGTCTAAAATGATGTTAATTTTTGACGAGTACTTCCCCCGTTGGGTACCCATGGGTCTAGCAGGTCGGGGCGAGGGATGGGGTGGGTCGAATAGTTGTGGGGAATGGGGCGGGGGTGGGGGCGATTTTTTAGACACAGGCGGGGGATGGGGGAGTGAACCCCCGCCCCATTGCCATCCCTAGCCACAGTGGTTAGGCGCGTCAAAGGCTTGAGAATGAGATGTCAACCGCAAGTAAAATTTCATTCCATTGTATAAACTACTCGCTCTGTTTCAATATTATCTTTTGATTTGACTTAAAATGTATGTTAAAATTAAAAAGTTGAAACTATATTAGTGGAGTTGTGCAGAGAAGCGAGGAATGATATGAGTTCAAATTTAATTTGATAGTAATGAAAAAGAAAATAATGAAACGAACTAAATTTGAGTAAATGATGAGTATTAAGCAGGGGCGGACCGTAGTACAGACCCAGAGGGGCGGTCGCCCCCCCAACAACAAATATTTTTAGTGTATATATATAATAAAAAATAATTTTCGCCCTCCCAAAAAAATATTTTGTTTAAGTTACCGCCCTCCCAAGACAAATTTCTTGGGTCCGCCCCTGGTATTAAGGTGAAACTATTTAAATGATGAAACTAAATTAATACTCCGTAAAATATACTTGGTGTTAATGCTCAGCGAATGACAAGATTTAGAAGTTCTAGAAGATAAAAAGTTCACTATTTATTTGATACCATTAATATAGGGTAGAATAGAATTAATAATATAGAGGCCCATAAATATACACCACGTACGGTATAATAATATCATTATACTACGTAGTTCCCAATTCCCTATTCCTTTCAGGAGTTAACAAACGTATATCCTAGATCATCATAATTCGCAGTTCCCTAATCCTTTCAGGAGTTAACACTTAACAGACCTATATATATCCCAGAGTACCTAATCCTGCAATCTCCTACATATAATTCTCCTACATCAAACAACGTAGTATATTGGTGTGACAAAAAAATATGGTTCCTGATGCCCTAATCCTGGCGGGTTACGTGCTTATTATGATTATGTGGGCAGCAGCCGTCTTCGCTACAATTGTGACCATAGATGCCTGTCTTCGGCGCAGTACATCCTCACCTCCGCCTATTCCCAACACCAACGTCTTCGTTAGCGTAGGAGAACGACTACCCCGCCGCCCGCCGCCGGAGGTTCGGCTGAATGTAAGAACCTTGGAGGAAAGCATAGGAGAACGACTACCCCGCCGCCCACCGCCGGAGGTTCGGCTGAATATAAGAACCTTCGAGGAAGGGAGCTTAAGGGCGGGAGTGGAGGACGGGTGTGCAATTTGCTTCACCGGGTTCGAGAAGGGCGCGCTGTCCACCGTTCTTCAAGCCTGCGATCACAAGTTTCATTCCGACTGCTTCTCCGTTTGGTTGGCCATTAACAAATCTTGCCCTCTCTGCAGAGCTCCGGCCGCTCAAGTTCCTTCCCAACCATAAACGGAGTAGCTTATCCAATCTTTAGTGTAGTTGTTCGAATATTAATTACAAATTTAACATTTAACCGCACACATGAATACATGATCATCTATGTGTATAAGGTGCATGGAATGCTTGAATTGATGTTTTTTGTTCAAACAATTATTCCTCTTGTATATAAAGGTTTAATTTTGTGACAGCCGTTCCGATATATATTAGGGTTCTTATTCATTATTATTATTGTGTTAATTCCCTTCTTGATCATCTGTGTATCTAGTATTTTGGGCTTGCAATCTATCCGTTCTTCCTCCTATATTTTTTAACGTTCTTATCGATCTACTATGTATTATTCTCGAATCAACTCTATTATGTTTAATTTTGCACGTACTAATAAATTTAATTAAGGAGTAATTTTATTATTATTATAGTTTCATCAAAATAACTTTTAGTAGTAACCACATACTAACAAGGTATATTTGCTGATTTAATCTGACTTGAACATATGTCTAGTATTGTTTAGCAACGTTATTTATATGGGGATCACATCCTCTAGTTTATTAGTTTCTCTGGACTTTTTCATCAATACGTATAATCTTAACAACTCATGAAAGAGTGACGCCGAGATGAGATTATTTCTGCTGAAAATCATACCACGTATATTTGGTACAAAAGTTCTTAATATGTATAACTAATAATGAACAATCAATAATGAACACGACCATAATAGAGATGACTTTTTTTAGGAAGTTCAATAGGTTATCCAGCGCAGGGACATTTGATCTATGGGACCCCAATTTTTCAAAGAAATTATTTGTATTATATAGTAATACTAGTATTATATACTAGGTATTAATACTAACCAGTAAAATACAGCAGTTAGTAATTAAGAAAAATATAAATCCGTCATTTTTTTCATTGTTCCTTTTAGTTCTCTTTTACTCAAATTGCTTGACTAATGAGTTGTGTTACTTTAAATCAAGTTTTAAGTAAGTTTTATAAATTTTTTTTAGTTACATTATTTCTCTTTTACTCAAATTGCTAGACTAATGAGTTGTGTTACTTTAAATCAATTCTTAAGTAAGTTTTACAATTTTTTTAATTATATTATTTAATTGATTTGAGTATAAGAATTTATGTTGAGATTTTTTTAAAAAATTCTTTATATAAATGCGGGGCTTCAATTTTATTGGACGGCCGTGAAGCAATTTGTGAAACTAAATATGTGAAATTTTATCTCTCTCCATGGTAAATATATATTTTATTTGCAAAATTATACGGATCACTGTACTATGTATTTTCTTTAGTCAAGCATTATCACACTACACAAAAGTATTTCATTTGTCACGAATTTTAGTAAGAGATATCGTTCCCAACAAGTTTTTCCGTGATTTGTTAGGGATATTCATAAAAAATCGGGAAATTTGCAAATTCCTTTCTCGTAATTTTTGACGGTTTTGATTATTAGTCTCGTAACTTTAGTCACTTGCAAATTTAGTCCTGTAGCTAATTAATATTTTCGACTTAAGAATTTTTTCCTTGAAAAGTACACCTTCCGGCGATAGTAAACCAGAAAAGATCGATGTCGCCTGCGTCACATTTTTCTGTTGGAAATAGCGTCTGTCCTATCTAAACTTGGGTCTGAGTCGAGCTTTATAAAATGGGCCCTATGCATTGTGCTTCGTATTAGTTTATCATATAGATACATTAAAATCTAATCAAGGGCGGATTTGGGGGGAGTTGGACAAGGCAAGTGCCTTGGGCCTCACATGCCAAGATCGAGCTAAGGCCCCAACAAAATTTAAAAACCTATTAATATTACCTATTGGTCACAATTAGGATGTTTTGCTAATCTTTAGCTGTGTGGAGAGAGAATTAACTGTGAGGCCCTAGCTCACAGTTTAAATTAAAATTTAGCTCACAGTTTAAGTGAAAACTGTGTGGTTAAGGTTTGCATTAGGATGTTTGTACATAGCTTACTATTGTACGGATAATGTTATAACTTTAACTTATATAAAAATATGTATTGCTGATTTTCCCTATTGTATATTAGGATGTTTTTACTTGGACTGTAATTTGTTCCAGATCAAACCAGATCAAACCAAACCAGACTTGAGTAGTTATAAAAATATTATATATATATATCATACATTTAACTTATCCTTTTAAATATTTAAAATATTATATCATACATTTTGTTTATGTTTTTTCATATAGTGTTTTTTAATTAAGTTATCTCTTTTCAATATGATTTTTGTGACGCAAGTTTTTTCCGTCTAGGGCCTCCGAAATGCTGAAGACGCCCCTGAATCTAATGACTAAATATCACAAAACGCAATTCTTAAACAAAAGTTTTACATTATAACAAAATGACATTGAATGTATTAAAAATTAATTGAGCACAACTCCTCTAATAGTTTTAGATGCAAAAGTATTACTCTCTCCGTCCCTTAAAACTTTGTCAACTTTTCTTTTTTGGATGTCCCACTAACTTTGTCACTTTCCCTTTTTAGTAAAGAATTTGTGGTTCCAGTTAATTCTCTCTCCTATGCACAAACCTCAACCACACAGTTTTTAGTTTATTAATCTCTGTGCCGGTCAAACTTGGCAATGTTTTAAGGGACGGAGGTAGTAATACAATGCATATAATTTGATTAATTGTAAATTAAGAATTCCATAACTGCAATATTGATAAACCTAAATAAAAAAACAAACAATAATCAACTAGCATTGAAAAGTTTACAAATTAACCAATTAGACATTGACGCATGACAAATCAATTATACATGGGAAAACAGCCAAATAAGCCTCCATATTGTTCCAAAAATGTCAATTGAACCCCTCAACTAAAAGAGCACCCAATCGAACATATACACTCATAAAAAATTCTCATATTGGCTTTTTAGCTGGTAACCTTCCAATTACAGGAAAATTGCTTACATGGCATATAATGTGGCTTTTGATTTTATCGTTTCCTTTTCTTTTTTATTTTTCTTGAAAATTTTATGTGTGTTCAAGGGTTTGATTGGAGTTTGTTTTAGTTTAGGGGTCCAATTGACATTTTTGAAGTAGTAAGGGAACTTATTTGACTATTTTCCCATTATACATCACATTAACATTTAGCAAGTCAATATAAAGTTAGAAAATTTTTGAAAATAAAAAAAATCAATAAGTAAATTACTAAAAGGGAAAAGTACAGAAAACGTACATGTGGTTTGGGCCATTTTCAGATAGGGGCATGTGTTTCATTTTCTAACAAAGTGGGGCATGTGTTTCAATTCCGTTATCATAGCAGGGGCATGGCGTCTAACGCCGTTAGAAAAATTAACTCCGATTTTAAAAAGTCTCCGAAAAATTAAAAGAAAAATACTAGGAGGTGCGCCTCGTCAAGGAGATCAACAAACTATCTTTCCCTTTGGATTTTTCGGCTCTATTGGGATTATTTTTTAAAAACAAATCTGCTAATATTAATTTTCAGATGGACTTTCTGGAGATATGGTGGCTGGAAACAAAAAAATAAAGATAGTTTGTTGATCTCCTTGACCAGACGCACCTCCCAGTATTTTTCTTTTAATTTTTCGGAGACTTTTTAAAATCGGGGTTAATTTTTCTAACGGCGTTAGACGCCATGCCCCTGCTATGATAGCGGAATTGAAACACATGCCCCACTTTGTTAGAAAATGAAACACATGCCCCTATCTGAAAATGACTCAAACCACAAGTACGTTTTCTGTACTTTTCCCTTACTAAAAATAATAACTAGAGTAAACAAAGATTCAAGAAATAATCAAATAAAGCTGAAGGAATGCAAATAAAAAGACAAATTGGTTAGAGCATCTCCAATGCGATAATGTGCACGGTGGACATGTGGCATGTGAGATAATCACATAAATATTAGCAAATAAATTATCTATCTCATTATTTGAATGATTTTATAAAATTTTGGTAAGTTTTTCTTCACGTTCTCAAAAAGACCGTCTAGATGTTGACATTGTGATTATCAGAGAAAAACTTACCAAAATTGTATAAAATCATTCAAATAAAAAGAGAAATAATTTATTTGCTAATATTTATGTGGCTATGTCTCATGACACATGTGCACTGTGCACATTTTAGCATTGAAGATGCTCTTAGTGGAGTTCCTCATTTCCTGTGCAGCCAAGAACGAAGAAGGAGAGAGAAGCCAGCTAGAACCCCAGGGGGGGCACGGCCAGCCGGAAAACAATCAAATTGCATTTCTTCATTTGTGATCTGTGAGTAGAGAAGCCGGCCATATAGTAGTATGCCTCTGCCGCAACTCTCAATCATCCTTCAGTTGGTGGTCTCCTTCGCAAGCTTGTAGAATCGCAGCTGATTTGTCGATGTTATTCACATATTTCCAGGTGGACGGGTTACAAAATAAGTAGGTATAATCATATGTACAAAAAAAATGGGCCCCTATATTTTTCAGAATTTTGAGGTCCTAATGCCAGCTTTGGCCTCTCCAGGTACGGGCCTGGCCAGAAAGGGTACTTTCTGGTGGAAAAGGTCTTAAATTGCAAATATTTATTAGTTACAGAATCAAATTTGCAAGTGATTAAAGTTACAGGACCAATAGCGATAACAAACTAAAGTTACTGGCTAAAATTGCAAATATCCCTAAAAACCGGTTAAGTAAGGTTCGTCACGTATAAGATCAAAATACATATACATAAAAATTACATGCATATACATTTTTTAAATTATATTGATATAATAAAAGAATACACAATTATATTGATCAAAACTCAGTTGTTTTAAATCTAAGAATATTTAAAAGAAAATGTTAACCAATCAATATATATATATAAAAGAGGAACTTTTTAAGAGCATACGGCGCGCCACATAATCCTGCCATGTCATCATATATAACAATTATTTAATTACTTTTTATATCTTTTATTTTTTTTATTCGATCATACATAATCTTGCCATGCCACAAAATCTTATGGATCTTCAATGGAATCCTCATCTTCAATACGGAATATTCAATTTGATCACAACTTTACATATTTAGAACTTTGGGTACTCATTATTTTTAAAAGTGTAGTTTTTAAAAAAGTTTTTTTGAAAAGAGTGACAAAATGTCACTCTTTTCACTATTAAATTCTAATAGTGACAATATTACTTCACTTTTGAAATCGATTCTTAATCCAAATTAGGAAATCTCCATACATTTAGAATGTTTTTAATTGGACCGATTTCAATCCCAAACAAGATCGGATCAAACATCAATAATAATAATAATAACTATTATTATTATTATTATTATTATTATTATTATTATTATTATTATTATTATTATTATTATTATTATTATTATTATTATTATTATGTATACATAAAATAGACATCTTCTAGACCAATTACTTAGATTTAATTCATTATAGTAGAGTTAGACAATTTG